TCAAGAGTCAGACGCTTAACCACCTGAGCCACCCAGGCGCCCCAGTGTTTAATTTTAGATAACTAAATTTTAATTCATTTATTTTAATATTTATTATTTTATTATGACTTTAGTAATAAATTAACTGAAATTAAATAACATTAAACACTCAATGGCACTAGCCTTATTTCTAGAACTCAGTTGTCACCAGTGGCTAATGACACGCATGTAGAAAAACAGGTTCAGAGTGATAGAGGGGGCCTAATCCAGGCCACTGAAGTCTCTGCTGGATTTACGCATACCTGCCTAATGAGTTCCTTCTTCAGCTCCTGTGTCCCCTCCACCCCTCACCAGCAGACACAGTTCATTCACCACATAGCCACCCAATAAATTTTGTTAAATGTTAAGTCGGATCTATCACTCTTCAGACCCCGCTCTCTCAGTGATGTCTTATCACACTTAGGATCAATTCCAAGTGCTCCTGACCGTCTTCATGACGTGGCTCTCTCCTGACCTCAGCCATCTCCTAGGCCACCACTCTCCGCCTCATTCTTCAGCACACCATTCACTTCCCTGTACACACCAAGCACGTGCCTGCTGTAGGGTCTTTGCACCTGTTGTATCTCTATCTAGAATGTTCTTCTCCAAGTGCCTCACGCACTACATTCAAACCTTAACTCAATGTTGCATCCTCTGAGAGGCCTCTCCCAACCACTCCCATCACTCTACCCCTTCCTCTGTGTGTGTGTGTTGTTTTTTTTTTTTAAATATAGCAATGATCTCAGCTGACACTGTTCTGTATGCCCCACTGTTCTGTATTGCCCATTCCTGTTGGAGTAAAGTACATGGGAGCTGGTATTTTTCTGCTTTAACTCTCCTTTTTCCCCAACACTTGGGACATGCTTGGCATATAGTAGAAACTGAACAAATGCTTGCCAAATGAATGGATAGGTGTCTTCGTGTCTCATTTGCCTCCTGATCTGGAACCTTTTGTTGTCTTGGGTGCAGATAGCATTGGCCATTGCCCTTTCCCAACCCTGAGAAGGGGCAGGAATGCCGCAGAAATTGTTCTGTCATCCCTCCGTGTGTGTCTATGCACGTGTGTGTCTATGCGTGTGTGTGTGTGCGTGTGTACGTGCATGGGTAACCAGGGGGAGGGGCCAGGGGATTTGTATCCTAAAGACTCTGGGAACACCCAAAAGGACCTGTCGTCCTCATGATTTCTCTTCTCCCCCAGCCCCACCTTCTCAGCCCTCTGCCCTTCTTCAAATGTGGACCCTCAACGGGGAGGAAAGGATGCCTGCTGCACGAGGGAAGTCCAAGTCCAAGGTAAATAGCGATTCTTCTTGGGGGGAAGTTTCATCTTGTAAGACATAGGCCATTTGCTTTCCTTCAATGGAAACTTCTTACCTGACAGAATCCCATCCAAGACCTGTTTCTGTTTCCTCCCATCACCATGGAGGGTAGGAGCATAAGAGCTCTAGCACCCCACGTAACCACTCAGTGCCTGCCTCTCCTTTTTTCTCAGTGTACCCATGGCCATTCACCTATTTGTCCAGCATCTTCAGGGTGTCTGCCAGCGCTATTCCTCAGACAGAAGAGGGGAGCCACCATGATTTCTCGAGGTAGACCTGAGTGCCCAGGCAAGACCTCTGAGGCAGAGGAAGATTCGAGGCTGTGCTCTAGAGTTAATCTGTTAATGTTGCTTTGTTTTCACTTGTACAACCCATACATACAAGGAGGAAATCTCTCTGTGTGTAAGAAATTCCACATAATCTTATATTCAGATTGGGTTTGTTGGGATCAGGCCAGTGAGTCAGCCTCCTATTAAAAAACATGCTTCACCACTTAAAAAAAATTTTCTTTTGACGTTAATTTATTATTGAGAGACAGAGAGAGAGATAGAACGTGAGCAGGGGAGGGGCAGAGAGAGGAGGAGACACAGAATCCGAAGCAGGCTCCAGGCTATGAGCTGTCAGCACAGAGCCCGACGTGGGGCTCGAACTTACGAACCATGAGATCATGATCTGAGCTGAAGTCAGACACTTAACCGACTGAGCCACTCAGGCGCCCCGTGCTTCACCACTTTAGATGATGAACTGATTTTCTACAGTAAACACCTTGAACGCAGTTTCTCTAACAAACATTTTTGCCCTATAAGTTATGTGTGTTTGTACTCTGTTGTTGTTATAACAAATTTCTGCAAACTTGGCTGCTTAATCAGCATGTATTTATGGCACACAGTTCGTGCATGGGTCAGAGGTCAGGCAGAGTGCAGCTTGGCCTGCCTTAGGTCTCACGAGGCTGAAATAAAGGTGTCGCTTGGCTCTGTGGTCCCATCTGAGGTTCAGGGTCTACTTCTAAACTCATTGGTTATTAGCATATTCAGTTCCTTCTTTCATCGTGGTCCCCTTCCATTTTCAAGCCAGCAATAGCAGGTCAAATCAGGCTTCAGAAATCCCTGACTTCCTTTCTGTTCTCTTCCAGCTACAGAAAATTCCCCACTGTTAGGGCTCCTGTGATTACATCACCCACCTAGATAATCCAGGATAATCTCCCTATTTAAGATCAACTGATTAGTAACCTTGATTACCTCTACGAAGAATCTTGGGCCTGTGTAGTTTAGTCACATGCTCTTTAGAGAGTATGTGGTTAGGAGCATGAATCAGAAGCCAGCTGCTCAGATTGAATTCCATCTCCTCCATTCACTAGTTGTGGATCTTCCATAAATCACCTCCCCTTCTGGGCCTCCTGTTTACTCATCTGTAACATTGCTGTGATCCTCTCAGCAGTGCCCCAGTCACTGGCTAACATGAGTCAGTACCTGTAGGGTACTTAGAAAAATGCTTTTCCTTTGTCAGTGCCCAGTAAATCCAAGTTGCTATGCTTTTTATGTGGCAGTCTTTATTTATTTTTTAGAGAGTGTATGAGTCAGGGAAGGGAGCAGAAGGGGAGAGAATCTTTTTTTTTTTTTTTTTTATGTTTATTTATTTATTTTTGAGAGACAGAGAGAATGAGCATGGGAGGGACAGAGAGAGGGGGAGACACAGAATCTGAAGGAGGCTGCAGGCTCTAAGCTGTCATCACAGAGCCTGACGCGGGGCTCGAACCCACGAGCTGTGAGATCATGACCTGAGCCGAAGTCGGACGCTCAACTGACTGAGCCACCCAGGCGCCCCTGGGAGAGAATCTTAAGCAGGATCCACCACATGCAGAGCAGAGCCTGATGCTGGGCTTGATCCCACAACCTGGGATCGTGATGTGAGCCAAAATCAAGAGTCGGATGCTCAACTGACTGAGCCACCCAGGTGCCCCTGTGATAGTCTTTTTTTTTTTTTTTT